TCCCTGTGAGGGTGGGGAGGCCCTGGCACAGGGTGCCCAGAGAAGCTGTGGCTGCCCCTGGATCCCTGGAAGTGTCCAAGGCCAGGCTGGACAGGGTTTGGAGCAACCTGGGATAGTGGGAGGTGTCCCTGCCCATGGCAGGGGAACAGAATTATGAGATAAACTGAAGATCCCTCCCAACCCAAACCATTCCATGATTCGATGATTTTGTTGTCTTTAGGATTAGCGCATAACCAGATGCTCTTCTCCCTTCAAACTGGAGAAGAAATCACAACAAGGGCACGAGCTGGCAGAGCTGAGACAAAAACCAGCCCCAAAACAGGCACCGGGGTGTTAAGGTGCGCCAGGAATGTGATCGTGACTAAAATACCCCCAGCCCTAATCCCAGCCTGGGGCTCTGAACTGACCTCGCTGCTCCTCCCTCACCTGCAGGTCCTTAAACCTCCTCGGGAGGGCCAAACAAGCTGCAGGTGACTCCATCTCCTCCCCACGTCCTGCATGAGCCCCTCTGGGAGCCGGCAATGCAGCACAGAGGGCAGAGAAATGCTGTGAGCTCCCACTCCTCAGCCTGATGGGTTTAGCTGCAGGGAATCCTCCTGGGCTGCAAGAGATCACATCTTTTGTGACTTCACAGCTTGTCACTCACAACCCACCAGAGCTTAAATTCAGGGAAGATGGAGCAGACCAGCAGCTCCTAAACTTTCATCCCTGAACTATTTATCTAACGAGACCTAAACTAGCAGCAGTAATTAGTGAGAGGAGTTATTTTATCACCAGCCATGCGAGGCTCAGCAGAAGGCTTCCAACCCAAAACAACCGCGTATCCGCCCAGGTGCCAGACAGCTCCTCCAGATAAATCAGTCATCCTGTCCTCGGGTTGGATTTGCCAATAAAAAACCCCAGACATCGCTGGCATTGCTGCTCCCAAACCTGTTTGCTCTGCGCTCCTCTCTGCCCGTGAAGCGCTGCTGGTTTTGAGAGGGCTGTTCTCGTAAAAGGGCGGAGCAACCCGGAGCCCGAAATCTGCGGAGAGCTTTGTGTTTGCTGGAAAGGTGCCCGGCGTCCACGAGTGCAGATGTTGGGGGGAGATTAAGTCTACAAAGTCTTTCTTCAAATTCAGAGAGCTGCTGGCCAGAGTAAAACCTGATATTTAATTATTTAACCTTTATATCTCAACTGCTGCTCAGCTGGAGTTTTTAAGGGGGGTAGGATTACACCCACAGGAGAAGAATTGAAAACCCGTTGCCAGAGTTTTTCCATGGTTTTATTAAAAACTTCCAAAGCTCTAAAATGAAAATGTACACCAACTACAAGGGAACCAGTTTGTACACTCACAGTTAAAGTGCTAAAAATTAAACGTTACAAAACCCACACTGGACTACTGTAAACAAGTCTACCAAGAGCCGAGTGCGAGTGGGGTCAGCCTCGGGCAGGGACTGCCCCACACATTCCACCACGCAGGGATCTCCCGGGAGCGCCTTCCCCTCTCCTGAGGAGCTGGGCGTTGTCTCAACAACGGGAAGGGCTGGGAGAGGCACCGGGCCCACCGGCAAAACCCGGGAGAACCCCGCGCCTCGGGGACGACCGATCCCCATCCCGTCAGGAGAGAAGCACGAGGGGAGAGGGGTAAAGCTTCACATTCAACTGGACATTCTGCTGCTCGGGGTGGAGCTGGGGATGTCTCCTCTGCTCTGTGCCCTGGTTTCACTGCACAGACAGAGCAGCCTGATGCGTTTTGGGATCCTCAGTGCACTGGAGCTGGGCTGGAGAATCGGCTCCCCCCTGGCTCTAAGGCTGGCCTGGGCCTTCTCCTCGTGCCCTTCCTGAGGGATTTTCCCTTCCCTCCTTGCTGGATAAAATTGGAAGCAGTGCCGGACTCGGCCATGCCCGGATTTCAGCCTCCCAGTGCCATCCTGCGCTCACCACTGACCCCTGGAGCTGGTGGCTCAACGCTTCCAGCACAGAATCCGGGATTTGTGCTGGAACACAACAGGGAGAACACAAACACACTGACACCTGAATGTGGCTGTTTGCTGCTCTTGGGTTGTTTATGCCTTAAAAAAGAGGAGCGGCCTCCTCCATGCAACGCGACCGCAGCTCCGATCGGGGACATTTCACGGGAGCTGTGGAGGGATTGAGAAAGAAGGAACAGCACAAACTCGGGGGGATCTGTTGTCAGCACAGTCGGGAAAACAGGAGCTGGAGATCCCTGGGGATGCTGGGGATGAGGAGTCGTGCGTTCTGCAGGAAGCTCTGATGGAGCAGTTTCACCGAGCAGAGTTTGGGGCTGCAGCCATGGTGGGAGGCAGAGGGATGGAGTCTGGGATAACTGGAGCTGGAGAAGCCAGGCCCTGTCCAGCCTCCCTGCCTGCTCCCTGGGAGAAGGGAGAGAGGATGCAGCTCCTGGTGGCAGCTGGGGAGGGACGAAGCGCTGCAGGGACACCCGGGGAGCCCCGAGCACTTGGGTGTCTGCAGAAATGCCCTCCTGGCCGGGGGTTTCAGCTCGGGGGGAATTTAAAGCTTGGCACCGATCCCATAAACCCGGCACCCGGGCTGGAGCTGGCAGCAGGTAGGAAAGCAGCCCAAAACCACCACTGGTGCCCCTGTGGGGCCACATTCAAACTGGGATGCCCTTCAGAGCTCCTGGCCGGGATGATTTGGGAGCTGAAGCCCTGTGGGCCCCAGCTGGGGAGCTGCAGCAGAGCTGGGGCACTCTTCCCTGGCTGAGGAATGCTCTTCCCGGGAGGAACGCTCTGCCAAGAGAGCACAGCGCGCTGCCTCAGGTGTTGAAGGTAGAGGGGAGAGGGCAGGGAGGCAAAAAGCCCAGCCAGAACTCCAGTTTGAGGTTTAATCACCTCCCTGGGGTGACAGGAGCCTGTCCCTTTAGCACCCATGAGCAAGGAATGACTTGGATATTCCCATCTGGAAGCAGTACTGGGACTGGGCCTCACAAATTAACAACATTCCCAGCAGGATCCTTCTCCAAGCTCCATCAGCATTCCTCTCCCTGTCTCCAAACAAGTCAAAGCATTGCTGCAATTTATAAAAAAGGAAAAAAAAAAAAAAAAAGGTACTGGAAATGGAGCCAAGAGGATCATTGTAAACCCTTGAGCTTATTTAGTTTGGTTCCAGTGTTTAGGAAAACTCAGCTTCCGCAGGTCCGGATTCCTACCAGATCACCCCTCTGAGTCGGGAGGAGCTGGATTTGAAAACAGCCAAGATTCCACCCTTGGGGTTTCCAGGGAGTCGAAGTTTCTCCAGTTGAAGTCAGCCCAAAGGATTTTGCAGAGCTGGACAGGTGTCCCCGGTCCCCGGGGCTGTGTGCTGAGCAAACAGGCCCAGCAGAGCCGGCTCTGCCCCAGGGCCCTGCCTGCAGCACCTCCCTCCCGGGCCCACAACAAAGAGCTTTGTTATTCCACGCTGGGCTCCGTTTGTCTTCTCCTCCGAGCCGCTGAATTTGGGATAAATCTGTCTGGGAGCTCCCGGGGCAGCCTTTGATTCCACAGCACACAGGTTACGAGCTCTGCCTCTGTGTCATCAGCTGCAATTAAAATGAGTTAATTGTGGAGCAGCTCCTGCCCCGGCCCTGCCCTCGAGGTTGGTGCACAAAGGCTGCTCAACAAGGCTCCACCGGGTCAGGGAGGGAATTATGGAAGGACAATGCAAAAATAAGGATTCATTTCCCAGCAGTGATCTGCAGCAATTACTGAGGTAGGTTTGCATGCCAGCAGGGTTTCCTCGTGCTGGATCAATCTCCTCGGGAGATGCTCCAGAAGATCTCCAGCACCATCCTCGAATTCTGCCTCCAGGGTATCCCAATGGATCCTTTCCACACACAAAAAAAGCCCAAACTGAGAATTCTCTACAGTGAATCTGCAGCAGGGGATGAAAACAGCCACAGCAGAGGTGGATCCGTAACCAAGATCCCTGAACTGCGGATCCTGTCTCCTCCTCAAGGAACTCCGTGGGCTTCCAGCTGCCACATCCTTGTTTTTCCCCATCTGGGGGCAGCTCCTGCCTCAGCTTCTCCCAGCCATCTCTGGATTCTTGCTCAGCGCAGAGGATCCTCCCCAAACCGTGACATCACGAGGAAGGTGGGGAATCCTTGAATAAACTCCTCTGGTCCTCCTGGCCTCAGCTGCTGGGCTTTGTAAACAGGCTCAGCTCTGGCTGTGACAACGGGCTGTACATTCCTGCCTGGGTGACAAATTCAGCTTTTCTATGATAATCTTTTTTCTTTAAATAGATCAGGAACAGGCAATCTCAGCTTTTGTACATGACTCTAAAAAATAAATGGCTGAATATTATCTAGATAACTGCTTTTAAAACCCATCTCTTCCTACGGAAATTGTAAACGAGTAGAAAATTTAAATAGTCTTTTGTAAAAAAGCAAGGACAATACAAGTTATAAAAAAATCGCTCTTCCCTGCCTCTCTCTTCCCCCCACCCTGTGGACAACTGAGCCTGGACAGCTCTGGGAAGAGCTGGTGATCCTCAGAGGAGTTTCCTTCTCCAAAAAGCTCCTTCCCGTGGCGTTTCCAGTGTGACCGAACGCTGCCGGGTCACACAGACGTCCCTCAGGCAGCGCTGGACGTGTCCCCTCGAGGGAGCTGCACGGAGGGATTCCTTCAGCCACCAAGAGTTCCCTCATCAGAACAACTCCCAGCATGGCCCCGCTGATTTCCGACACGCGGAGCCCACGGAGGGAGGGAGAGAGAAGGAAGGGGGAGATTGTTTTCCACAGAGAGTAAGAAATTCAGCAGTTGTGTCTGATGAGGAACAGTTACCAAATAAATAATTACCTCCAGAGAGGTTCAGAGGAGACAACCAGCTTTTTTACTCAGTGACTCAAGACAGCTCCGAGGCAAGTCCCACAGCAGAGAAGCCGACCCCGGCTTCCCGACGCCCGAATTCAGCACCTGGCGAGAGGCTGAGGGTAACACTGAGCGCGGAAGGAAGGCACCACGAGCCCTGCCGGCACCCTGAGCCCTCGGAGCCGCTCAGGCGCTGGTGCCATCCTCCTCAATGACCCGGTTCATGCTGGTGCCGTGTGTGATGTGTGTCATTGGGTTGCTGCTGAGGTCCCTGACGCTGCTGTGCCGTGACTGCTCGTTGAGGCGGTGCGAGCTGCTGTGCCTGGAGTGGTCGGTCAGCCGGGACATGCTGCCGTGAGGTAGTCGTTCCTCCATGCCCCTGTAGCTGCAGGGAGTGTACCTGATTTTGGGGAAACAGAGAATGAGAGAATGCAGATAGAGCTCCTGTGAGGAAAGGCATTCCCCGCTCAGCTCGGGCACTCCGCTCCCGCCGCCCCGGGCGAAGCGGTTCAGCTCCTCGCACAGCGGGCCTCGCTCGGTTCTTACTCCAGCACTGTCTGGTACTGATAATTAGGGGAGTGAAACGATTGATGATTAATTACCCTGGAAGCCTGATCTCCACCTCAACTCAGAGAGGGGAACTTGTCCCCTGTTTACTTGGGCAGGGAGTATTGACAGACACAAAATGGACTGACACCCGGACAAAAGCGGCCAGGAAAGTGCTGAGCTGACGTTGGGGCAGGTTTGTTTTCCCACACGGTGGAACACAGATCGCTCCCGTGCAGGGAAACCAGCCCTGCCGTGTAACTAATTCCTCAAGACCAGCAGTGACCCTGAAAACATCATGGCATTTTTTTCTCTTTCCAGGCACTGCCAGGGAGAGGAGATGCACCAGAACACCCAGTTTCAGCAGAATTACAGCCACACGTCTGGCTGGAAGGGGCCTGTCCCACCTCCTGCACAAGACTTGCCCAGTGAGGTTGTGGAATTGTTTGAGGACAGGTTGGAGGGGGCTTGGAGCAACCTGTGAGGGTGGAAGGTGGAATGAGATGATCTCTAAGGTCCCTTCCCACCCGTAACGGCGCAGTTTCGGGGGCCGCGCGTACCGTCCGTCCCGCGAGCGGTGCAGGCTGCCGTGGTAGCTGCTGACTTTGCTGTGGACGCTGCCGGCCTTGCTCCTCTGGTCGTCCATCACGGCCAGCTGGGTGGACGAGGCGTGCGTGGAGGTGCCCTGGGTGGAGGTGCCCCTGGACTTGCGGATGATGGGGGTGTTGGGGTCCCTCAGCAGCGACTGGGCAAAGTCCGGCTCTTGCAGCACCTGGCGGCTCTCGTTGACGACTCTGAGCGGTTGTTGGAGCAATTAGCGTTAATTACCGCGGTACAGAGTGATCACAAACAGAACAAGGCTTGGCAAACCAGAGCATTATTTACGGCGTAACGTCCCCGTTTGCCCGGTTTGGAAGCGCCTCCCTGTCTGGTTATTCCAGCCGAGTTGAACCCTTGAAGGATGCACCAAAGGAGTCACCAAAACGTTTCTGCCTTTGTGGATCTGCTTTAAATCATCTTCAAGGACAATATTTATTTGGAAATCTACCCGTGGCTACCACGAAATCACACGGATTGTCTCTTAATTGATGCCAACCTTAATCTAAATTAATTTCAGCCTTACGGAAGCGCCAAGAAAATCTTGCTGTCACTTTATCAAACCTCTCTTCAGCACCAATGCATAAGGAAGACTAAAAGCAGAGACAAATCCTTTCAGCTGCAACCACGGTGAGAAGAACCTGCGTTTAATTTCAATTTAGAGCTCTGATTCAGTTGGCTGGATGCACATTTATAAATAAAACGTTTCCATTCCACCTCTCAGTAAGAGGCAGAGTAGTTGCAGTGTTTATTTCATGCTTAATTCTTGTTAAAAACAAACTGAAGACAAATGTAGATTTGATTCTGGGAACAAAGAATAATTAGGGAGAAATAAGGAACTTTTTGAGCTGTTGCCTGTCTTGTCCTTCCTTGCTCCATTCTGAAAAGTGACTTTTCCACCCACTCCTGCCTTTGTCTCCATTAAAACCAACCCAAACTCTCTCCCAGGACAGCAAGGGAAGGGTTTATCTGTAATTATCCCTACTCACTCTTTTTTCCTGCGCCCATGGAAGAAGCTGGCCCACTCAAAACAGGTCTTCTTGCTTCCCACCCAGAACACCGAGGGGATCCCGACCACCAAGGCCATCAGGTACTTCATGAGGAACAAAATCAGATCTGGACGGCTCATCTGAGTGACCTGGAGAGAGAAAAAGAGACAAAAGGAAGATTCTAGGACCCATCCTGGCTCACTGCTCGTTTTTGAATTTAAATCTCCCCTCCCTGCCTGGAGCCAAAGCAAACACGGTCAGGATTCCTTTGTTCCCGGCTCCTCCGAGCGTGACCGGGAGCGCTGCAGGGCCCAGGGCTGGCTCAGACAAAAGGCTCAACTGCTGTGAGGTCCTGGCCTTTATTTGTATTTCTGGTCTTTTGTCCGTGCCCTGAATAACCGTGAAATATTTTCTAGTCTGCGAATCAGAAAGAGTCGCTCCTTTGATGGGATTAACACATACAGGACCAGGTGCTGCTGCGGCTGCTCTTGGGAAAAATGCCAGGGGAAGCTTCGTGGATGGGCAATCCTTTATTCCCTGGAGGGATTCCCTGTCTCCCTCCCTGGGGAATTCAAGGCTCTGGCCAGGTGCAGGTGCCTGGTTCTTATCAACCCAGCAAAAACTTCTCTCTCCAGGGAGATCTGGAACTGGAAAACGCTCACAAGATCTGTTTTTCCAAACGTTTTTATACACCAAGGGTTTGTTTGGAAAAGAAGACAGAGGTTTTCTTTCCAGGAAGGTCCATAGGGAAGCTCCAAAACAAACACCCAGGGCCTTTCTGGAACCGATAACCCAGCTCAGAAACTGAACCTTCGGGGAGAGAGGACTTCCAGAGCAAACCTGAACGAGGCCACCAAGCTGTGGAGGGAAGGAAGAAACTCGTGGTGGTGACAAGTCCTCTGTCAGCATGTGTGACTCCGGAATTCCAACAATTCCAGCGACTGGGAGAACTGGGATAAAGGCTGGGAGAGCTGGGGGTGCTCACCTGGAGAAGAGAAGGATCCAGGGAGAGCTCAGAGCCCCTTCCAGGGCCTTAAGAGGCTCCAGGAGTGCTGGAGAGGGACTGGGGACAAGGGATGGAGGGACAGGACACAGGGAATGGCTCTGAAGTGGAAAAAGGGGGGATTTGGGTGGGATCTTGGGAAGGAATTCCTGTCTGTGAGGGTGGGGAGGGGCTGGGATGGAATTCCCAGAGAAGCTGTGGCTGTCCCTGGATCCCTGGAGGTGTCCAAGGCCGGGCTGGACGGGGCTGGGAGCAGCCTGGGACAGTGGGAGGTGTTGGGGCTGGAACTGGATGAGTTTTGGTCTCTTCCCAATCCACTCTGTGATTCCATGAGCTCAGACACCCGCTGGCCACAAAACCACTTGGCCTTTAGCAGGAGCCTCCCTGCTTTTTGTCATGGCTGAGGGAGGTTTCCAAACCACCTTGAAATATTTTATTTTCTCAGGAGACGAGGGCTGAGGACAAGAGAGAAGGCGGAGGATGAGCAGCAGATCCGTCCTGATCCCAGCAGAAACAAACTCGGTGCACAAGGGGATAAGGAGGACCCGCGGATGGCTCCAGGACTGTGGCCCATGGAATCTTTCCAACATCCCAGAAGCTGCTGGAGAAACTGCTGGTGCTCTGTGAGGTGAGGGTGAGGCTGGAATACTCTGGGAATTCGCAGGGAACAGCCAGCCCTCCCTTGCAAGAAGCTGCTCTGGCCCAGAGGGACTCAAAGGTGTGAGAAAAAGCATGGCTGAACACCAAAATGTGGAGGAAAAAAACCACTTTGAAGTGTTTAATCTGTGCAACAGGAAAGAAATACCACACCAGCCATGGAGGAATTCCATCCTCAGGAGAGCAGGATTCTGGAAAGGCTTCCAGTAGGAATTGTGGGGGCACAGGCACGTTCTGAGTGTCGCCAGTGTGAGACAGAGGTTGGCAGAGACAATCAGAGCTCCCCTCTGACCCTGTACTGATGTAAAAACACAGGTACAACCTCCTAGAACAACATCCAGAACCCCAAATTGAAAAATCCAAAGTCAAATCATGCCCTGTGTCAGGGGGATTGGCCAGAAATAGGCCCCCACCCCGGGATATTCCAGAATATTCCAATTATTGCTGAGGGGCAACAAAGCTTCCAGTGGTTTAATCCAGAAATCCAGCAATCCCCGATTTAATACTCTGTATTATTGCACATTTTCAGTCCTGTCACCACCAGAGATGGAAAATAAAAGTACTGAAATGTAATGAGAGTAATTAGGAGATGTTCATTAGGAGTTCTCCATCCACCTCTTTCCACCCAGGAAAACCACGGGTGCTGAAGGGTCCTGGACACCTCTGGACCTTCCCACACCATTTACCAGAACAGCTCTGAGATTCCACACAGGATTATTATCCCAGAATATTAATGATTACTCAATTAAAAAAAATCCTTATTATTATTTTACCTTATTATTTCAGCTGGCACTAAGTGGAGTAAGTGGTGAAATTCATCATCTCTTAATGAAGGTGACATCCAGGTGCATTTTTATATTGAATTCTTTATATTTACATTTAATGTCTGTCCATGGGGGCCAGGTCTCCCCTGGCAGAACTTCTGGCCTGAAGGGAATTTAATTTTGAATATTTCATCAAGAATAAACCACATCAATTCTACTGCTGAAGCTCTCAGCTGCTCACTGTATTAATTCCACCAAGATATTACAATAAATCACTCAACAGCAGAACTCCTGGCTCAACATGCTCCTGCTGAGTGCTACAAATAATTCCAAGTGAAAAAAAAATTAAAATAAATACATTCAACAAATCTTTCAGGTGAAAGGAAGCACGTCCTGCTCTTTGGCAAAGCGAGTTATTAAACATCATTACACGCTTTTCTCTGAATTAAGCCTCAAAGCAGCCAATTGAGGGAGTAACACCCATTAAATTCACATTAACACTAAGTGACTGCACCTGTTTGAAACGGTATTAATCTGCAGGTATGAGGGATTTATAATAATTAACAACATTTATGATAATTAACACCGGAAAAATGAAACTTGAAATGAGTTTTCCAGGCTTAACTGGGCTAAAAAAAAACCCAGGTGTTTGAGCCCGAAGTGGGGCACCTCCAAACCCAAAATGCTGGGACAGAGATCCTGTTTTAAAAACAGCAAAATTAGGCAAAAACTCACTCGTGTTCATCATCAAGACTTTGACTTTTTTACTGCCCAGCATTTTAGGAAGAGTCCAAAATACATCTTTAAAAATTTATTCACCACGCATGAAATGATGCATTCACCTGGAATATTCAAACTCCACCTCAGCCAAAATGCAAAATATTTTCCAAAAGCACCTGTGATCATGATCTTATTTATAGAAAATTATATAAATATATATTTATACATATAGATATAAATTTATTTATAATAAATTCTCTCTGATGGGGAATGTGACCTTGAAAGAGCATCAGAACCACTTTTAAAAAGTGAGAATTGGACAGGATCCCTGGTTTCAATTTATTTTCTTGCAGAGATGAAGCAGGGAACAACCAATAAATGAGACACTCTGGAGATGTCTGAATTTATGGAACAAAGTCCCTGATGCACTTTCCATCCGTGCTTTTTGAAAATTCAGGTTATAAAGAAATATCTTTGTGTTTAAAAGCGAATTTTTTAGTGCACAACCTGACTCTATTTATATCTATACCTGAATAAACTTCCAACCCAAACCATTTTATTAAGAAATCCAGGCTGCTCTTGCTGGTGCTGATAAACACATGGCATTGAAGCTACAATTAAAGGTTCAAGGGTATTTTAGCAAGGTGTGTGCTGAAGGCATTGCTACATTTTTGGGTTGCAGCCTTTTATTGATGCACTGCAATTAATTTTTATTGGGGAAAATGCCACATCCCTCTGTTATCCTGTAGAAATGTGGGGTTTCCTCATCCCCCCATCAATGATTTACTCATCAGAGCGATCCCCCTGCACTGGCTTCACCTCCCAGCCCTGCTCTGCAAGAACTCCGGGTGGTGAAGCACCAGCAGAATTCCAAATGCATCTGAAAACAGAGCCTGAGCAGCGTTTTGGCGATGAAATAACAATTATCAGGGTTTTTGTCAGAGATGGAGATGTGGGAATGCCGTCAGAACCGTGATCCCTCAGGATCAGAGAGTGAATTCCACTGCTGATGAAGCCAGAGAGGGAAAAAAATCTCCTCTTAAACCAAATTTTAGTGTCTACATTCCTGTTACCAGCTGAAACAATAACTGGGAACATCTACTAAGGGATTTAATTCCATCATTTCTTCTGTTTCCCACTTGGCTCCGTGGCCAGACTCCTCTTAACATTTCTGAACCTCTGAACCTCCACACTGGAAAGATCAAATCCAGAGACAGATCTCCTCTGGGCCTTAAAAAAATGGGATAATGTCCTCCTTTTTAGATAAAAAGCTGCTTGTTCTGAACGCCAGGAGCTGCTTTTCCGTGTCAGGGACGCAGGGAGTGGAAGGCCCTGGGGCCGTGTCCTTCAGAGATGAGAACTTTTCCCAGAGGGAAGAGAATTCTGGTGGTGATTCTCTGTTTTCCCTCAGACCTGATCGCATTCCCGGGGCTGTATGAGGGGTTTGTGCACTCCAGGAACATGAGAACTTGGCAATTTCATGGAGTTTCAGAACAGTTTGGGCTGAAAAGGACCTGAAAGCTCATTCCAGCTCCAGCCCCGACACCTCCCACTATCCCAGGCTGCTCCAACCCAGCCTTGGACACTTGTAGGGATGGGGCAGCCACAAAATCCTTGGGAATTCCATCCCAGGGAAGGATTTCCCTGTGGATCCAGGCTCTCAGAGCCATCCAGCTGCCAAGGAAAACAGGCAAGGAGATGTAGGATTTGGGTCATGGGCCCTGCGCCGCGCTCGGAGCTGCTCAGACACATCCCGCGAGCAGCAAGGCCTGGCCTGGCAAGTTCTGTCAGATACAAAGATCACAGATGAAATAAAGGTATTTTTGTAGCTCATTTTCCCCCTCCCATCTGCTGGGCTGGTCCAAGAGCATCCAACAGAGAAGTTTTCCCCTCAGCAAATCCAAGAATCCTCAGCGAGGTTCGGAGGCGTCGCTTCCCTCACGGAACACGCGGCGGGGCAGGCGCTGAGAAAGGAGGTTCAAAACATCAATTTCCACATTCCTCC